TGCCTTACCATGCCTGTGCACACCCCAACGTCTCTGCAGCAGCCTAGGTGCTCAGGCTCCAGCTACAAGCACAGTGTTGCCATGGCAGCAGCAGCAGGAGCCAGTAACAATCCCTTTGTTGTTGAGCATTGCACCTTGTGACTGCTCTCCAGCACCCCTCCCCTCCCCGCTCACTGGGATCTGTAGTCTACCGCAGGGTCGGGCTGGCGGCAGGGTGAAAGGACCGGACCACACTCGCCAGGGTGCTCAAGGCATGTGGCTGTAATTATTGGCTACAACCACCAAAAAAAGCTGATAGCCAATAACTTCTTTTCTCCTTTTAATCGGTGCTGATCCGATAGGCAACCAATATATTGGTGCACCCCTAACTATTACATTGGTAACCTCTAAGTATTTCTCATGTATTTTTCACAAAAAAGGTGAAACAAGAAAATGCACCTGGAAGTGTAAAATTTTATTTTTTGGACTGGGAAGACATTTTGAAAAGAGGGTAAGTTGTGAATATCTTTTGTGAGTTAATGGAACAAAAATGTTCTGTGCAAGTCTGACCAGCAGTTGAAACTTCAAGTTCAAACAGGTGGCAAAAGTGTATGTTATTTAGCAACAAGCACTGATCAGTGAAACACCAGGAGCTGCTATTCACCCAGCAGCATGCTCTGCTTGAGCAGCAGCAACAGTGGGAGGGCAGAGGGGCGAGGAAAATCAAGAGGTAAAAATCAGAGGGATGGGGGAATATGGTATCGCTCTACTGCTAGATGGGGCACGGACAGAGCCTTACCTGCTTCCAAACAGGGCTGCTGTGAGCCAGTCGGAACCTGGGAGGGACAGGCTGCCTGCTCTCCCACCAGGACTGCTGGGAGTCATCTGCAACACCAGCTCTAGACAGACTCTCCACAACAGCCCTGGAATGTGGGTGGGTGACGAGGGCTAGTGCCTTGCTCACTACTCTTTGCTGCAACTGGTAGCTAAACAGCATTACCACATTTCCTCGCATACAGTGCATATGGAGATTTTCAGCAAGTTGTTTTTGGAAAAAAATGTGTGGGCTACATGCAACCCCCCCATCCCCCCCCAAACAAAACAAAAACAAAACAAAAACAGTATTTTTGTGTAGTCAAGAAAGGTATGGAGGGCAAGAGCAAACATTTTCCAAGGTGTATCTTGAGTCTTAAGAGGTTGTAAATCACAGCTATATTGTAATCCTGCATTTATTTAAACTTGGGCCACTCAAATTGAAGTCAAATTTTAGAAGTTGTGGATTTTGCAATGGAAGATGCAATTTTAGATGACTATCATCATAGGGTACTTAACATATTTTTTCAAGTAAAAATTTCAAGGTTAAGTTTGCAGTGTGTTCAATATTGAGTTAGGCACTTACTAAGGTTAAAAAAAAGTTACCTATCCACATGCAGGTATTTTTAAAAAGGAGAAAGAAAAAGGAGTTGCAGACACTGGTGCTCAGCAACTCTCAGCAATTAGCTAGGATAAGGTCACAAATCTATCTTTATGTATTCACCACAGAATGAAGATGATCCAATGCCATTTACAATGCGCTTGTTCTAACTTACGTATTTTTTGCTTGTCCATCCCTAAAACACATTTGTCCAACTAGTGCAGCAGATTGGTCACCCAAGCACTGAAAGGAGAAATATTTTAAAACAAAGGCATACATACAGACTACTGCTTAAAACAGAATTAAACCAGTTATTCTGGCCTACAGTTATGACCCATTTGGGTTAAGTGCATACATCTGAAGTGAGAAAAAAAAAATGTATACACCTTCAGTCTCTTTATTCACACTTACTCCCCTCAACTAAAACCATCAAAAAAGCTGTCAGTTAGTTATGACAGCAAATCAATTTAAGGAGATTCAAACAACCAAATGTAGCATCAACACATGTCTGAGTCTGATACTCTCAACATTTCTGTATAGAAGTCTGGTACTTTAAGCCTTTATTTTGTGATACATTATCCTCTTTTCATAGCATTTACTTAAGTGGAGGTACCTTCACAGATAATAAAGATCAATGCTAATAATTCAGTTGGGCTTGATAATGAAAAGCAAGCTTGGATGTGAGCCTGGATGTCAGCAAGAACATACACCATGCCTGCTAGAATTAAAAATGACATGTTTCAACACAAGTCTGCTTATTTTGCAACAATATTAATTCATTTTAACATTTCTATGCAGTGACGATCTTTCTATATAAAAATCAAACTCTCACACCAGACTTTGAATTGGAGTACAACTCACCCCAGAAATTGGTACACCTGTCAAAGCTCCAGACTTCTGACAAAAAAGGCAAACATGTAAGATTGGATTATTTCCCATTTCTTAAATAAATATTGCAATAATTGTGCAATAAAGGATGATCCATTCATTTTAATAGAATGATGCATGCTTCATATATGTATGGAAACAAAGCTCTAACCCACATGAAAATGGGTAGTGACTTAAAAGCGAAGAACATTTTTTAGTAAGTGCATTCAAAACATAAACATTCAACAGAAGACAGCGAAACATTTAGCAAGAGTAACAAGTTTTTAACATGGTTTCTTGGTAAAAGCTGGACATCACAAGAGCGCCAAAAGCACAGCTTGCATTACTTTTCTTCTCCCTTCACTGAGGTACACTCCAAAAACCCCCAAATTTAAATCATTTGTCTGCATTTTTACAAGCTAGTACGCAATATGAAAATCATGATCAATACTATATCATCGTGTGGCAAATTAGCATGAAAGAAAGATGCTGTTCAGGTTTGTTTGGGTTGTTTTTTTTACATGCCTGGGACTCCATTGATATGCCCAAGAGCTACATATAGACTAACCCTACTCTCATCAATTTCCACATAATTGCTAAATACAGGGCCTGAAATCTAGGTTTCATGGAAGAGAAGACAATTGCCCACTGGGTGCAACAATGAAGCTTAAGTGTTTTGTCCTTGAAAAAAAAAAATGTAACTTAAATGCATGAATTGCATCTAACTTCAGAGGTGTTGGCTGTAGCTGTGGTGGCCTAAGGACATAATCAGACAAGGTTCTATGGGTAAACCTGATATCTTTCATTGGAGCAACTAAACTTTTAGTTGGTTTAATGAAAGATATCAGATTTAGCCAAAGAACCTGATCTGCCCTGCACCCACCTTCAGCTTTAGGAGGGAAAAAAATGAATACAATGAAGACTGGAAGAGCCTAAGCAGTATATTGGTAGATTAAGGGTTAAAACATGAAGGCAAAAATCAGGCAAATAAAAACGATATATTTATGTGGCCAAGAAGAGAAGCAGACTACCGTGTCACCAACTATGCTAGGCATTAGTAAATATCCTTCCTCCTTTCCTATGACTTTATGGTGACAGAATCATGGTGTGGTTTGTCCAATGAGTGGCTGTGGAAAAATTTATTCCAAATTTTGGAGGAGAATTATGATTCTTCTTACCAGACTTTTTCTAGCCCCTCAATCTTAATAAAACAGTCTATGATAACAAAGAGGAAGGCCAACTAATGCTTACAAGGAAGAACAAGCTCAGGCACAATGTCACTATGCCACCCTTCCATTTCCTAGGTCTCTGCTACATATTACCTTTCAGATGCACAATGAAATTTTAAAAATAGCTTATGACAACTGACTCTGTATTGTGCTGAAAATGTATTAAAGACTGGAAAAATAGGTAAAAAGTCCAAAAATCCCCAGAGGTTCTCCCTGAACCTTGGTCACCCACTCCAAAAGTAAAATGGTACCACCCTCGCCAACCCTCTGGAAGGATTCTGTTAGCTAGCCTCGTTCTACCTCTCCTCTCTCGCCTTTCCTTCTACATCACTTTGACTTTATGGGAATTGGATTTTTTTTCTAAATGAATATATGCTCTATACTTTCTGTGATGGCTGCTATTAGACTATAAAAGTATGTATCTTGGATTATTACGTTTCCCATCTCTGTGGTCAAGATCAAGATTCAGACTCAAGAGGAATTTTTCCTGCGAGTGAATAAGCAGAGCTTTCTCCCCTCCACACTGTGTACAAGAGAAATGCACTGAAGCCACAAGGGTTGAAACAGTGCCTTTAAAAAAAAAAAGATGGCCTGCAAAGCAGGTCCCGTCACTTAGAGGGAACATTAGAGGTCCCTGCAACACCATGATCCTAGTACACACAGGATCTCTACTTAATTCACCACATCAGGCCTAAAACTAAGCCAAGAAATTGCAAGATTCATAGGCTTACTCAAGATTCAAAGGAGGACTAGACCAACCCGTTTTAACAGTTCTCATTCTCAGCATAATTTGTTTCAAGAGTTATAGTATTATCCATGACAGAGAACACAATAAAAGATGCTAACATGTGGCCTCTAGCAATAAGGTTTATGCTTTGCATTTATAGCATTTTTGAAAAATTACAACTCATTTTTTTAACTAAGATAAATTAGATCTCATTTTCAGACTAAAAAGTTTTCATTTATGCAGCATTTCTTCAAAACACACATCACAATGTTCCAGACAGATCCTTCAGGTGTATTCTTGCAAATAACCACAGGCATCACCGGTATGCAGTACTCCGTCAAGATCTGCTTTACTTAACAAAGTTGCTTCTTTGTGGAGCTGTGACAATGCATTTTCAGTGAAGCCATGCGTAAGACATAACAGTGCATTTCCAGTTGGAAAGTCTTAGTTATTTCTTGAATTCCCATTTTATAGGTTGAATGTTCAGCAGTTTATATTAATTTGTAAAAAAAAGCAAAAATACTTATATGCCAGTAATCTATTAATATTGAAGACAAAAGGATATTCCATATTCTTATGAGAGAAAGCTCTCTCTATTAGCCAGTAGCTATGTTTGTTTCTCTTATGAAAAAATGTCATTTTCCACCTGAGATTTATGCAAGCATTCCATCTAATTCACGGTCAACCTGGTCATATCATTGCAATGCCTCAATATGGAAAGACTTACCAATTTTATTTTACTTAATTGTATGCAAAAATAACATTTGTAAGTGGAAATGCACTGTATTTGAACAAATGGATGAGAACTGGTGGACAGCCTGATGAAAGCCTCTACTCACCACAGCAGAACTGATTTTCTACAGTCAGCAAGAAAAAAAAGTGGGTTGGGAGAGGGAAAAACAGAAACAGACTAGTACAAGTTGAAAATTATCTTCTATCCTGTCAATTTTTCTTCTCCCATCTGCTGTACTAGCAAAGAGTAATCAAGTTGTTCTAAATTAATCTAACCCCTTTGGATTCTAAATGTGAATGTCTTCTCCTGCTGGCAAAAACTTTTAGATTTTTGGCTGGTTAGAGCCAGACTTTTTTTTATTTATTTTATAATTAAAAAAGGGCAAGGCAGACTTATCTGGAGCATACATAAAAGGATAACCTTCAGAGCAGAAAAGGAGTTTCCTGTAGAGAAAAGAATCTATATACAGGCTCCTGTTCTGAAGACTTCCCAGCCAAGGAAAAAATTAGGTCAGATTCATTAACGTTGTAGTACCATACCGCACCACTTCTTCTGAGGTACAAATGTCTCAGCCCCAACTGACTGGCCACAATTCAGGACTCCCTCCTGTGAGAAGTCTCTGCAGTTGCTCAAGAAGCAGTTTGACTGCAAGACCAGCAATGCTTCAATAGTGTTTTTTGTACCTTAAGCTTACCCTAGCAACTAGAACTAGATTCTTAACAACAACAACAAAGACAATGCAAGATGCCACTTGTAATTTTGATCTATCAGAATTATACCAAATCCTCCTTTTAAATCTCATGAGCCTGAAACAGTGGTCTTACCATCCCTTTACTAATTATATTCCCATATAAATCTCTCATTGCTCCTTCTGCAGCTAATGCTGCCAAAGAAGTAATCACTCCAGCAAGGGCACTGTTTGAAGCTAGTTAATTACTTTTTCTTTGTGGTTTCAGAATGAATTTTTCCAAGTAGATTGTGAATCACTAAATAAGAATCAGATTTTTATTATTACTGAAAAGTCCTTCCACTTCGTTTTCATTAGATAACAGTGGTTTACAACCTTCTGGCCCTGCAGGCTAGATGAGTGGCATGGGGTTGGATCCAACATGGGGTTACAACATGGAGTCCTTCATGGGTGCAATCTGGCCTGGCCCCATGGCAGCAGAGAAGACCCACATACTATACAGGACATTAATCCAGCGTGTGGGGTTCCCACAGGTCTGAAAATTTAGTGGCAGGTAGTGGGGTCAGCATTAGTTGCACTCAGTCATGGCAGTTAATATTGCCACCAATCCCTGATGCCAAATTTACACACTTGTAGGGAGCTCCCATGGGCTGAATTTATTCTTTGAGCCAGAGGTTGAGCACCATTGTGATAAACAGGTAAAGGTACTACTATTATTTTCAATGCTGACAATCAACCTACACTGCTCTAAAAAACAGACTAGTAACTCTCCAACCTACCAGGAGGTTTTTCAAGCTATGCTTCAATAACTGTGTTTGCAGGAGAGAGAGTTTAGGCACAAAAAACAAACAAACAAACCTACATACCATCAGGCCATAGATCTCAGAGGAACTCCTCACTTTTGGAAGTATTTCCACAGGAATATCAAAAAACCTGAAAACAACAAGACTATTTAGTATGCATCTATCTGTACTGAATTAATAAGGAAGATCTACTCTTCTTAGACAAATTTAAACTATAAAACATAACCATGTGAAGGAAACTGCGATTGCCATATCTTAATCCATTACTCACTGCCCTTCCTCACAGTTGCTATGGAGGATACCCATCTTGTATTAAGGATATAGACAAAAAAAAAACAACACTGGTAGTGGCTTCAAAAGGGGAGGAATGGCTGCTACTCAGAAGCATAAGCCTATAGATAAAATTGAGCTATGCTGTCACCAACCCTTCCCCACCCTATATTTGATCCTGAGTAAAGCAGGGTTAGAGTTAGTGGGTTCCACTACAGTTAGATTACTCCAAGCGTTGGTCTGTCCATACTCTAAGAATGCATGTATTTTTGAGTATTAAATCAACACATCCAATCCCAGTCACATTCCAGAACGTCATTTTCAAAGCAGATACGTACTTTAAAAAAAAAGGGGAGATAGAAAAGAACAGAAAGAAAAAACACCAAAATCCAAACCCAACACAACTCTTTGTAAAGCTTGAATTTAAAACAACGTCTACAATTTTCCACCATAGTAAATGTGGATATTCTGAAGGACTAGTTTGAGAGCTAAGAAATGAAATGAAATCTATTAAGGTTTATGCCTTGTGTGCCATTTTTCCAGCTATAGAAAAATACTAGAGAGTTTGTCCCCCCTTCATTAATCCAGACAACAGTTATGTGGATATGTAGAAAGAAGAAACCCAAATTGTTATGTTCATAGTAAATGCAACCAATTGCTTTTTAGTCACAAATGTGACCAGACAAGCGTTGTCTGGAAAAAAAAAAAAAAAATCTTTGAAAGACGCAATTAGTCAATGATGTGTAAAGACAGACACTAACACTGCTATTTCACTAAATGTAATGAAAAAATTGAACTTACTGGCAGAGTTCAGGGTCCCACTCCAAGGAATGAATGTTGAACAGCATTGTTCTACTGGCATTAGTCACATCGGTACAATGAACACCTCCGTTTCTTCCGCCAGTCAAACTCTGAATAAAGCAGCCAGCGATAATGTTAGCAGGGGAAAAAATTAGCAGCCCACTAATTGTGTAGGTATTATAAAAAAAATACATTTATTAAAATGAAATTATTTCCAGTAAAAATATTTTGTGCCCTTGGAAGCTGGACCTCTGACACCTTTTCAATGAATGAATGAAAAGTTAGACAAAAGAAGAATTATACACAGTACAGGAATCTGAAACTGTGCATTTTAATTTCTCCTTTTGCAACATGCTGCAAAGGTAGTTTGCTAAAGTCTCTGAAGGTCCACATTTTCCGAAAGCATAAGCAAAATTTTAGCGACACTTTGCTAACAAGAGCCACACCAAGCATGATGGTTAGAATATTTAAGTGACATATGAAATGAATTAGCTTGTCTTGCCCAAATGCCAGTATTAGAAGTTATTAGGTGGCCCATATTTACAATGCGGAAGTCTGCTTTAGCCAAGAACACTTCCTTCTTCCCCACAATGTGTTAAGAGCAAGTCATATACAATTAAAGCACTTGAAAGCAGTTGTAAATATAGAGCCTTTTGTCTCAGTCTGAAAAAATGCCCTTTATTGTTTAGGAGGACATGAAAAAAACAGGTTACTACAACAGTGGGAAGACTTTGCAGAGACAGGCAAACATACAGCTATCATCAAACGTAGCCTCCCAAGAATGACCCAGTCAGGTGTTCACGCAAGCGGGGGTGTCTGCGTCCGCAATCAAAGCTTGCAATACAAAACCTCACAAACGTACCCATATAAGCCATGAATCAATGGTGCCAAACATAGCGCGTCCATCATCAACAGCTTGCTTAATTTCTTCCACATTATCCAGCAGCCATCGAAGTTTCACTGCACTGAAATATGTGCTAAGTGGAAGACCAGTCCTAGGCTGCAAAATTGAAAAAAACTTTAGGGCATCCAGTCAATTGATTCTTCCCAATTACTTCCATATTTTTACATTATATTGGGGAACAAAGGGTGAGAGAAAAGAGAAACTAAGCAATCAAAGGTCTTTCAAAAGGAAAAAACAACTAAAAATGTCTTAAAAACAAGAGAACAGATGTTCCCAGTATTGTAAGCCTGCATACACCAAAACCATATACTAACATGCTGCTGTGATCTTTGTTCGTCAACATACCAGCGTGCAGTTCAAAGATCTTGCACATAGTAACAAGATACAAGTGTTTGTAGAAGTCATATCTTATCTTAAAGAGCTGCCTCCAATCAAAGAGCAAACCCAGATGCTTAAATGAGTATCTTTGAGAGGACAGACTGCTAACATGCTGCTTCACTGATCTGCTATTATTGGGTGTATCCAGAAAACAGAATGGCATTCAAAAAGCCCGTTAGGCTCTGGAGTGGTGAGAGATGCGTGGGTGAAAGCCCGCCACGTCCCCGCTCCCCTGAAGCCCCCCAGAGACCCCCCAGCAGCCGCGGAGCCCTCCGCTGACCCCCAGCACAGCCGGAAGCAGGGCCTGTGGTGGGAGGGGGTTAACCCCTCTCTGAGTGGGAGGAGGCAGCTGAGGGGAGCCGGGCCAGGTCAAGTCCCGCCCAGGCCCCTGCTTCTCCCAGCCCCCAAGGGAGCCACGTGATCAGAGCTGCGCAAACAGGCGTGCTTGCCTGCCGGCGCGTGAGTTAGTGCAGAGTTCACGCAGGAGGGTGCGTGGGAGGGCCCGAGACCCTGTCTGCAAACCCCTCAGGGTAGACAGTCCCAGCCATAGCCAGCCTACCAAAGGCATGACACGGATGGGCACGTGTCGCACCCCAAGGGTCCCCTCGGGGTCTGCGGCCCCCCCCCCCCCGGCACCTCAGAGACGGCTACCCAGACGGAGGCCGTGGTTCCGGGCTCCACGCAGACGGAGCACCTGGCGTTCGGCTGCGGGGGCTGCCTGTCCCTTTTTCAAGCTCTGGCGGCTGGGAGCATGGCTACCTCCCCTTGTGGGGTCTGCTCCCTTTTGGGGTCTCTGGCACACCAGCTGGAGGAGCTCCAGGCCACAGCCCAGAGACTGCATGCCATCAGTAACTGTGAGCAGAAGATTGACTCCTACCGACAGGCCCTTCTCCCCCAGGAGCCGGAGGGTAGACCACCATCTCCCTCCAGGACAAAGGAGGACTCCGGGACCTCCCGCTCTGCCCAATCAGGGGCATGGACCAAGGTGGTCAAGGGCCCTAAGGTCTGCCGCACCAAGGCCCCTGCCCCACCAGAGCTTAGCAACAGGTTCGCACCTCTTGCTGATACAGCAGAGCCTGCTGAGTTGCCAGCTTCCACAGGCAACACAGGCTCAACTGCAGCTACCATCCCCACTCTCCTTAAGACAAAACTTAAGGTGTTTGTTGTGGGAGACTCCATCCTGAGGGGGACTGAGGGGGCAATATGCTGCCCTGACCCCTTAGCTCGGGAAGTCTGCTGCTTCCCGAGGGCCCGCATCCAGGACATTGAGGAGAAGATCCCTAAGCTCCTCCTGCCCACAGACCACTATCCCATGCTCCTTATTCACGTGGGCACCAGTTACACGGCTCGGAGCACTTCCAGCCGGGTCGTGAGGCACTACAGGGATTTGGGAGTGGGGCTAAAGGGTCTGGGTGGTGGTGGTGTTCTTGTCAATCCTCCCAGTCTTGGCGTATGGGCTGAGGAGGGAGAGGAGGATCCATGTAGTCAACCAAAGACTGCGGCGCTAGTGTCATAGGGAAGGGTTTGGCTTCCATGACCACAGCCCACTTTTTGGCGAAAGAGGCAGTGAGCTGCTGGGAAGAGATGGCCTCTTCTCAGCCAGACTGGCTGACCTGCTCCACTGGGCTTTAAACTAAGCCCGTTGGGGGACAGGGGGACTACCGCCACTGCTGGACCGCTGAGCAACC